GTATTAACCATAAATTCCTTTCCTTGATTAAATTAGGGTTTTGATGTCTACTTTTTAATTGATTTTTGTGTTTTATTGCACAGTAGACATACGTGCATCTAGATTTGAAGATGCTTGGAATGAATAACTGTTTTGAAAAATTGGAATTTTTCTAGGTGCAATAGTGTTTTGGTTTTGTTTTTGATTTGATTATTCTTGGAAATCTAATGTTTCCTGATGGTAACACGTTTTTATTGGTGTTACTTGCATAATTGGGATTTTTCGAGGCATAATATCTCTTGAGTTGATCTTGATATTTTTAAAATTAGGTTTAAGTTTTCTGATGGTCACATTCATACTGCTTGCATTAGTTTTGCTGCAGAAATTGTTCGTTCTTCTGATTTGTGGATGATGGCATGTTTGCCTTTTTCTTTGGTAATTTTCACCATGATGCTTTTTTTTTGGCTGAACAGAAACCTTAAACTATGTAATCAGCTTCTTCTTGTTTTCATTGTTAAATATATAATCAACTTCATAAGGAATTGAAGAACTTGTTACAACAGTTTTTTTTCTCTTTCTGGTCTTAGCTTTACTCAGACTTGGGATATACTTGGACGCGGCTTACTTTTTCTTTTGTTCTGGATTATCAGGTTGTTAGCTGCTCAACTAGTATTCCAACTGCAGTCATTGAGACGACCAACACAAAGTTTTTTTCCAAGCATTCGCTCTGGTAGCCACACGGACACTGGACCTCGAAGATGCAATGAAGATGAACACATAGAGTTGATGATCTATCGGCCCACTTGGGTTCACAATACAAAGTGGCCTCATCCAAGTGCCTTTTATGGCTGTTTTTGATGGTCATGGGGCTCTGACGCAGCAGCTTATGTCAAGAACAATGCTATGAGATTGTTCTTTGAAGATGCCGATTTGCCACAAACATCTGATATTGATGAAGCTTTCTTGGAACATTTGGAGAATTCTCATCGCAAAAGCATTTTTACTTGCTGACCACGCCATGGCTAATGATTGCAGTATTCCCACCTCTTGTGGAACAACAGCACTGACTGCCCTTGTACTTGGCAAGCATCTACTGTGGCAAATGCTGGTGATTGTCGTGCAGTCTCTTGTAGGAAAGGAGTTGCGCTGCAGATGTCTCAAGATCATAGGCCTACTTATTTACCAGAAAGAACAAGGGTGGAAGAGTTAGGCGGTTCCATCGAGTATGGGTACCTTAATGGTGAACTTGCAGTCACCCGTGCCCTTGGGGACTGGTATATGAAGCTTCCCATTGGGTCTTCATCACCTCTCACTGCAGAGCCAGATGTTCAACAAATAATGTTAACGGAGGATGATGAATTCCTGATCATTGTTGCGATGGTATATGGGATGTTATGTCAAATCAGGAAGCAGTCTGCCTTGTTCGGCATGAGCTAAGGCAACATGATGATCCACGGCAGTGTGCCAAAGAACTAGTTAATCAGGCATTGTGCCTTCAAACCGACGATAACCTCACTGCCATTGTTGTGTGCTTCACTTCCCCTGTTTGTCGAGATTCAGTTCCTTCGCAGAGGCCAAGGTTGAGGTGCTTCAGTCTGTCTGAGGCGGCCCAGAACAAGTTGCGAAGCTTACTAGAAGGCAACTAAATGCGAAATCATATTAATTTTTGGCCAAGAAAATGTACAATTGCAGAGTGTATATATTCAAATTATTTTAATGAAAGGATTGTTTCTGTTTATGGCTGCTGCTTCAGATTAGTGAGAAAAAGCAGCCAGCAGTTTTGTTGTAATATTGGTTGCTTTCAATGGCGATTAGATTCATTGAGGTAGCCCGTTTTACAGTTACTTTAATGTTGTTATGTGAATGTGATATATAAATAACACATCTCAGTTCAATTTGTTTCCAGCATATTGTCTCTGTTATTTGTGTTTGAGGGTGTTGTGACAGTGAACTTTGAGTGGCGTGTGGATAACTGACCGTGCTCATCATCCTCATCAGGCTATAACCTCTCTCCACCAAACAATAAGATGGGTGAGATGTGTGAGGACACAATTTTCTGATGTAAAGCTCTAGCAACCAGTGGTAAAATATCGGAATATCTTGCACTTTATGCTAATAAAATCCCCAGTCACACATATTCTCAAACAACAATCTCTGCATGCTGGCACGCCCAACGCCATAAACTGATGGATTCCCTAACTTTAAGACAAGCAAGACAAGAACAAGATCAATAGTGTTTGTTTGTGTCCTAAACGTAACTTTGTCAAACATCATCATCTTGAATAAGTAAGTATGTGAACCTGCCCAGTGAAATCAAGCAGTGAATTACTTGGGCTTTGACTCGTATATTTTGTGATTTTTTGTAATTTTGATGATCTCTAAAGTAAAGTCCAATTGTGAATTACTTGAATTTGGCTGGTAATTTTGATGAACTTCTTAAACTTGACACGTTATTTGGATGAACTCAAAAGTCCAAATGAAGTTGAAACTTGAGCTTTGTGTTTTATAGATTTAAAGGGCAGTAACAAACTTTTTCAGCTGATTATTGCATTTTGTGGAGTTTTGTATTCCATTTAATATAATTGTTATACTAGGTAAAGAAGTGTAAATCTTTTTACTTGTATTTTTTATTAAATAATAATACCACACGATGGTGATGATTAATGTCATAATTACATTCAATATTTACTCTTGCTCTAGTCCTCACCAAACAAATCATCAGATGGAGGGACAAAGTTAAACGGCGCCAATTCATTCTGACTAACTACTTCATGGGTCGTAGCTACAACAGATCCCAGCTACAATAACGAAAAAAAATAACTAAACAGACAAAAATAGATAAATAAATTAATAAAAAGCCGACTCTCAATTAATCTTCAGACTCGAATTGAGACCCAGCTGAGTCTTTTACACCAAGACCTAACCCGATTGATTGGAAGCGAAAATGGCAATGACCAGCTTTGCCAGACGAAAGGCATCTACGCTTCTCTCGAAGCATCTTCACACCAATTCCAAGTACTCTCTCTCTCTAACCAGAGGTTTCGCTTCGGCGGGATCTGAGGAGAACGACGTCGTGGTCGTCGGCGGTGGTCCTGGCGGCTATGTGGCCGCCATTAAGGCTGCTCAGCTAGGCCTCAAGACCACGTGTATCGAGAAGCGTGGTGCTCTCGGTGGCACCTGCCTCAACGTCGGTTGTATTCCTTCTAAGGTAGTCTATTTTTATATCCTCGCCCCCTCGTCCGTATGAATGTGTTTTGTTATTTATTTATATCTGATATGATGTATATTTGTATTGTTTGATTTGAATTACCGACTTGCCAGATCTAATTGGTTTCTGATTATTGGCCGTTGTGTATATTTGATTTCGTTGTGTGTTTGATGAATATGTATTGGAGTTGGTTAAGTTGTGGTTACTGTTTGTATGTCAACTTAAAAAGTCTTGATTTTTATGGAAGTAATTGAAGATTGGTTGGACACAGGATCATGCTTATATGTACGTATACAAGTTAATTTGTCAAATTTATGATTTTATCAGTGGCATGTGAATGGAATTTCTCAGTAATTCATAGAAACGCAAATAGTTGCTGAATCATGGCTGATTTTTCTTCATTATTTAATGACTATGGAATGAAAAGATATCATAAATTTTTAGCACTAAACAGTGATTCTTTAAAAAAAAAAATCCAGTGCTAAACATTAATTTTCAGCACAAACATGGTTCAGTTGGGCCGGTATACATTTTTACGAGGCAAGCACTGATTTTCGATTCAATATAATTTTTTTCCTTTCAATCAACAATCTTTTTTTTTTTTTTTGGTTATTAAAATTCCATTTTCTTGAGTGGTACAAATGTGGTGTGATGATCACCTAAAAGAAGTGCTTATTTGGGTATGTGATGAGAAGGAGTGATAACTTCATGACTGATGCTTGATGGTTTTGAAGTAGGTTTCTGAGTAAAGTAGCTCTACTACGGCACTTCAGCTAGACAGAGTGAAAAATAATTTATCCGTCAGCTGCAGCTTTTCACTTCAGATTTGATACTCCTTTGTTTATTTAAATACGTGCTAGACATATAAAACTACAAATGACGCAATTTATGGCTTTTGCAAGGATTAATTCGTGATGTAATGCCCATATTCACGAATTTCAGTGACATAGATTTGTTCTCTCCCAATTGCACAACACATTGGTCACTCCAAAACAGGGCATTCTAAGTTGCGTAGGTGTTGAAAATATCATTGTTCTTGGAAGATTAGTGTCCTTTGTTTTTTTTTCCTTTAAGAATTTAGTGGATTTGAGTAGATATTAACAAACACATGGTGGTGATACACAATTTTTTTTTTTGGAGGTGGGGGTCCCAAATTCTATTTTACTTTCACCTGGAAGTAGGAAGGGTTGATAATTGCTGTACTTATTGTGGAAGCACAATGTATTCTAAAATGATAACTTAAAGAGTGGCTTGAAGTATTGTGTAGTTTTACTTTCTTTGAATCGTTGGCTTCCTTGTATTAACATATGCTTGGCTAGTGCTTGGTGAAATCACGTCCTTCTACAGTTCTCCTCCCCAGCCAAAACTATAAAACTCCCCCCCACCCCAAAAGAAATAAATGAAGGCCTATCCATTTTTTTGATAATCGCACATGATTATACAAAAGGCTTATGAACTACTAGTATTTTATGCACTAGCTGGCTATCAAACTTTCGTTGTGTCTTATTAAACTCTACATAATCTAAATTTCTGTGCAGGCACTTCTTCATTCCTCCCACATGTATCATGAGGCCAAGCATTCATTTGCCAGTCATGGTGTGAAGTTTCCTTCTGTTGAGGTTGATCTACCTGCCATGTTGGCCCAGAAAGATAAAGCTGTGGCTAACCTGACACGTGGCATTGAAGGTCTATTCAAGAAAAACAAAGTAAACTATGTTAAAGGTTATGGCAAGTTCGTTTCGCCTTCTGAAGTTTCGGTTGATACCCTTGAAGGTGGGAGCACTGTAGTGAAAGGCAAGAGTATAATAATTGCCACTGGGTCTGATGTTAAAAGTTTACCTGGGATCACCATTGACGAGAAGAGGATTGTATCATCAACTGGAGCTTTAGCTCTGGCAGAAATTCCTAAGAAACTTGTGGTCATTGGAGCTGGCTACATTGGCCTTGAAATGGGCTCTGTCTGGGGCCGGCTTGGCTCAGAGGTCACTGTGGTTGAATTTGCTCCAGACATTGTTCCAACGATGGATGGAGAAATCCGCAAACAATTTCAACGTACCCTGGAGAAGCAAAAGATGAAATTCATGCTCAAAACTAAGGTGGTATCAGTTGATACTTCAGGGGATGGTGTGAAGTTGACTCTTGAACCAGCAGCAGGTGGTGATCAGAGCACTCTTGAAGCTGATGTTGTTCTTGTGTCTGCCGGTAGAATCCCATTTACATCAGGACTTGAGTTGGACAAGATAGGAGTTGAAACTGACAAGGCTGGCCGTATTTTAGTTAATGAACGATTTGCTACAAATGTACCTGGAGTTTATGCCATTGGCGATGTAATTCCGGGGCCAATGTTGGCTCACAAGGCAGAGGAGGATGGGGTTGCCTGTGTGGAGTTCATAGCAGGTAAGAAAGGCCATGTAGACTACGATTTGGTACCTGGTGTTGTTTATACACACCCAGAGGTGGCATCTGTCGGGAAGACTGAGGAGCAGGTGAAGACACTTGGGGTTGATTACCGTGTTGGGAAGTTCCCCTTTATGGCAAACAGTAGAGCCAAGGCAATTGATGATGCTGAAGGAATTGTGAAGATACTAGCTGAGAAGGAGAGCGACAAGATATTGGGTGTCCACATCATGGCACCAAATGCTGGGGAGCTCATTCATGAGGCAGTTCTGGCCTTGACTTATGGGGCATCGAGTGAGGACATTGCGCGCACATGCCATGCACATCCAACAATGAGTGAGGCATTGAAGGAGGCTGCAATGGCCACTTATGACAAGCCAATTCACATATAGATGATGTGGTATCTTTGTTATTCTTCTCCTGTTATATTTTTGAGAGTTATCCACAACTTAGTAAGGGCTTTCTTATTCATGCCTGTCACTTGAGTAGATAAAGTGGTTGAACAGAAATCTCTTTTCTTCTTTTTCACCCTTCTTTTGGGATACGGTACTTCATTTGAATGCTTTGTTTAATGTGCTTAATAAGAATGAGAAATGCACGTTGAATTGATCCCACTGCAGTGATGCACAGTTATGGCAGTTGAAAATACTATGTCTACTATGAAAGATAATGGTGTTTCATTTTGTTTTAGTAGAACAGTGATAATTAGGAGATAGCAGCGTAACAGTGATTAAGATGGTAGATGGAACTAACTCTGATGAATAAGAGGAAAATTTTCTGGCTAGTAATTCAATAGAGAGCCATGACTGCAAGCATTTGAATCTTAGGCTTAACACTATCCACTACGAGATTAGCCCTTATCTGTGATTGGCGTTTATGGTTGTTCCTATTCTTTTTGATCTTTTGGTATTAAGGATTACTGCTTGGAGAACCAAGAGTTCAATTACGACATCTTCTTTCTGAGTAGAGTATTTGTTTGTATGGGAGACCTACTTCTGGCTAACTTCAAGATTATATTGCACTATCCTGTATACCTTTTTCACCCATGACTGATTTAAATTTCAGGTTGATAAAACTGTCACAGTTTTTAAATATACCAGCCCAGCACTTCTTGAAATATATTCTTGATGGGGGAACTTCTGGCATGGTTTTGAGATTGGTTGTGGGTGGATTCCTATTTGCTCAAATTAGACTTCACTTACTTTGGAACACCCCCCCCCCCACAAAAAAAAAAAAAAAAAAAAAAAAAAGAGACTACTTTATATAGATAAGATCTTCCCATGTTCTGTTATTACAACAGTACATAAATTAGCATGGGGCATGATAATGGTTACTACCTGTGTTTTTTCTCCAGGAATGGTTCATCATTCCAGTGTTGAGCCTTTTATTATGCATTGCAGAATTTTGGTGCTTCGAGTAGGTGATATTAGCATATTTTTGCAGCACTTTGTCTCTCTAGGGCAGGGAGTATAACAAATATAATGTTTCCTTTATGTGTCCTTTTTCCGCCTTGAATTTCTCTCTACCAAAATGATAGGTTCTTGGACAAACCAAGGATATTATGCTGTCAAAGAACCTTTCTAATGTCTGTCCTCCTCTTCATGGGGTGTGGTTGATTTACTTACCCAAAAAGAAAAGGTGGATTTCATCTTAAATGCCTTCACAAGTGTATCTGGACAATAATTTCAATGAAGAAAAGAAAAGAAAAAAAATTTCTAAAAATGTTTTGATATTTGGCTTGTCCCCTGATGGACTTGAAACCTCCAAAAACACGCAAATCGCATGGATCAATCAAGTTACTCCCGATTTGATACCTTCTAAGATGTGGATCTTTCTACAATTGAATCGTGGATGACACCAATAATAGTACGATTTTGACAACTGTGATCACTACCTTGATCAGATTCCGACTTTGACACCATTTCTTATTTAGTACTGACCAACATTTTATTTTTTGGTAAAAGGTTACATACACTTACCATACATGATGCAATAATATCAACTATTACCCGTCCTTGGTGATATTGGTATAATAGGACTTTTTCTAAATTATAGCTTTGGGTTTTCAATGTTGGTAATTTTAACTGTAAATGAGGTTGGTCAGATAGAAAACTGATCCACCCAGCGAAATCTTAGCTGTTGAGAAATTAATATTGTCAAGACCTGTATGTAAGGTTATACTGCTAAATTTAGCACTTAAATAATTGCTAAAATGTTTACCAAAAAAAAGAATAATCAATGTCCTACCTTTAGTTACCTTGTGAAATCTGAACTACTATTTAACTGTCCCCTTCTTTGATCATATTCCAGTACTCCAGGTGATAGAAAAGGAGTGGAGAAGAAATGAGTTTGGGTAGTCCTTCCTCGCAGTCGCAGGTTTCTCTTCTACTGGTGTTTGTGTTTGTATTTGTTTTCATTAGTCCCTCATGCTCATCTGCAAGGCTAATAGTGATGGCAACAGATGCTTACCTCGAACAACTGTGCTCCCAGACCACTAATCCTCCTTTCTGCTTGCAATCTTTGAAATCCGATCCACGTACTACCACGGCAGATGTTAATATCCTCGCCCAAATCTCCATCGACTTGGCATCTGCAAGTGCCAAAGAAACCTACACCATGATTGGAGAACTCATTAAACAGGCAACACCTCAGCTGAAGCCGCGATATTTGGCGTGTTCGAAAAGTTATGGTGATGCCATCCGTGACCTTGACGATGCCAAGCAACACTTGAGCTCTGGTAAAAGCCTCAATGGTCAAGCATCGACTGCCCTGACTGCCGTTGAAGAATGCAGCGATGAGTTAGAAGTACCACTCGCTGACCCAACTCAACTTCGGCAAAAGAATAAAAATTTTGAAGATCTATGTAGTATCATTTTGACGATCTCTAATCATATCCCTGCATTTTGATTACTACTAGTTTTATGTATGCCCCATGACACTGCATATCGAGATTTTATTATATCTACTTAGAAAATGTTAAAAAAAATAATATTGATTCCTAAACTAGTTTTGTCTCTATTTATCTTCCAACGATATGGATTGTTCCAATATTATCCTTTCACAAGGAAAAAAAGAATTTTTTGGGAGGGATGTATTGGTCTCCATAAATTTGGTGTTGCTTCTCTTTATTATTGCCTTCAATATAACATCGTTACAAATCTTTAATTAAACGTATTAAGTGAAAAATAAATATTAAATAGAGTTTATTTCTCAATAAAACCAACATTAATTCTGAAATAAACAACACAGACTTTTACAGTAATACCTATAAGAAATAAATAGTCAAAATGACAACTAAGTTCTTGAAAAGCAAAATGATAAATAACTTCTAATTTTTACATCTACGCCTACTATAACGAAATATAATCCGATTCCTATCACGCACATAAGGTGGCTCGTTGTGCAGTATCTTGGACATCTTCAATGGTTCGGTTGGACTTATTGATTGCCTTTCGAATGCCATCGCCAATGAAGACCAAGTTTGTTTTCTCAGGCCCTACGAAAACATCTTCATTGTACAACCCTCTTCTAATAAAAATACAAAATTTGTAGGGGCTGTACTTTGGGGCCTCTTTGACAGCTGCTGCTATAAGAGAAGTAGGCTCCTCCTTCTTTTGCAACAACCACCTTGTGACTACACCAAGAGCTGACTTCTCTATGTATTAGCATGACTACAATCTGCCAGATCAATACAGCAGTGACAGCCAAAGTCATGATGCAGGAGGATTTGAATCAGATGATGCTGAGTTATCAGATGACACGTTGATAGCACTGAGATATCCTGAGTTAGCAGATCAGCACAGTCAGAAATTTAAGTCTAAGAAGGGTTGACACTGTTTTGATCATAACTTTTGATTCGTTTGGAGTTTTGGGGCGCATAATATATCAAATTGAAGCTCTCGACGAGCCCTACAAGACTCACATCCTATGGCAATGAGAGGCACTTTTTAAAACCAAAAAGGCCTATAAACGTGTGTTTGGGCCTTCCGAAGTTTTTTCACAATTTTGAGTTTATTTGAATTTTTTTGTAATTTAATTATTCCTTGCGTAATTAGGGTTTTTAGCTTATTGTTTAGTATTTAAAGGATGTTTTCATGTGTTTTAGGGTTAACTATCATTATTTTAATTTTATAAAGATTGTGGCTACTTAATCAGTTCTTTTTGGATGATTCTTTTGTGTTTTTTTCTGTGAATTATCTATTGAAACTAGCCTGCAGAATAATCGCTATTCCATCCGGCTTCAGTTGGTATCAGAGTTTCAGCATCTTCTTGGGGTGAGATTTCATCAGTTCAATGGCTGGTGGTCGTGGTCGTGGTTGTCGTGGGTAGGTTCCGAACGAGGAAGTCCCGCATCGTGATTGTAGTGTTCAGGATGTAAAGATTGAGGATTTACAGAGGCAAGTTACAAAGTTAACCTGGCGTCTAATGGCGCAGGATTTTGGTGATCGTGAGATAGAAGATCACGATTCCAAATCCAATTTTGAAAACCCGTATCACAATCGTGCTCAATTCTGGGAGCACCATGGTCAGGAGGATCGTCGTGGAGACCTGGATTTCAGAGTGGATCTGCCCGAGTTTTTTGGTACATTACAGGCCAAGGGATTCATCGATTGGTTGAATGAAGTGGAGTAAATTTTTGATTATAAGAAAGTCCCAGATCATGTCAAAGTGAAACTAGTCGTTATCAAACTCAAAGGCAGAGCATCTGCGTGGTGGGAACAGTTAAGGCGATCACGAAAGAGGCAGGGCAAAACCAAGATCACTGATTAAGAGAAGATGAAGGGACACTTCCTTCCTTTCAGCTACACTCAAACCTTGTTTCAGCGACTTCATTCTTTAAGGCAAGGCACAAGATCAGTTGATGATTACACGGAGGAGTTCTATCAATTGATAGCCAGGAATGATTTATCTGAGACGGAAGAGCAGATGGTGGCGCGATATTTGGGGGGGATTACGGCAGCCCCTGCAAGATGTCCTCAGTCTCCACTCGCTGTGGACCGTTTCTGAAGCATACCAACGTGCAATTGTTGTGGAAAAACAATAGAACAAGAGGCCAGTGATTAGAAACGATCAAAGCAGTCGACCAGTTTGTCCTCAAGAATCTCGTCCTACCCAACAACAACCACAAGGTAATTCTAACCCTAATATTAGATGCTTTAGATGTGGGGAATAGGGACATAGAGCAACTGAGTGCAGGAAGCTTGCCAGTCAGAAGGGCAAAAATCTCCTAATTGAGGAAGACGTGGTAGATGAAACTGAGGAGGTTGGAGAGCCTGTGTATGACGATGATGAAGATGGAGATGTGCTTTATGGAGATGGCCATGAGACTTTGGTCGTTCGCAAGAGTCTATTGACTCCCAAGGGCGATTTAGGGGACGATTGGTTGAGAACCAATATTTTTCACACGACCTGCACAGTTGTAGATAAAGTTTGCAAGATGATCATTGATAGTGGCAGTTGTGAGAACGTAGTGTCTGAAGAGACTGTCCAAAAATTGCAGTTGAAAATAGATCGTCATCCCAAGCCATACAAATTGTCATGGCTGAATAAAGAAAGTGAGGTAACAGTAGATAGACGATGCTTAGTGTCTTTTTCAATTGGTAGGAAATATTTTGATAATGCTTGGTGTGATGTTGT